AAAGTTTTCACAGTTTCGCAAGTCATATTGACTTGTTAACTGCTTTCTAAAGTATTGGAGATCTGTAAACATTTACAAAACATAAACATTTAACTTAAGCCAATATGTTATTTTAAAGTTTTAGTGTTTATAGTAAATATATTAGGTTCCATCAATATTATGATAGTTTAACTGTTTCATCGTAACTATAACATATGAAATGAATATAAAAATGTCTATTCACTTCTTTGTCCAGATGCCATTTGTCCACAATGTTGCCTTATCAAATTTAATATGTATAGTAAATTATTAAAAAAAAACAAAGTCTTTATGAATAATAAACTTAATTATGTTGCCCCAGTACAAACCCACTTAATAACAACACTTGAAACAACAAAATATCAAAGGCAATGCAAAATATGTATGAAAAGTAACTCATAAATAAAGTACGATAAAGGTATGCAAATTTTCTACCGTGGAGTTTTTATTTGGTTAGAAAAAGCAGAGATTTTTCGTTTTAATTTCGCCGTTCCTTTGGCAAGGGACGCACAATTGGAGATTTCGTAAAAAATAATGATATTGACTCCTAGTCTACCTCCCCGCGTATGGAAAATGCGACTTCTTTTATTCAAAACTAAATTTCTATTTAATGCTGCATAGTTGAATTATGTTTACACATTAAAGATAAAAAATGCACATAATAATATTTTATGTACAGGTGACTTGCACATGAATATCAATTTTATTCAAAGGATAATAAAATCGAAAATTGAGTGTTCTGATCACACATTTGCGTGGCAGCTACCACATTATGTTGTAGATTTTAGTGGATATCTAGGATGCTGCCACAATGCTATCATACACGGTAAAGAATACTTACTTTGGTTATAATATCTTTGGATAGGTACCGAACTACGGCTGATGAAGTACATATCGATTTAATTTAAAAAAAAACACTACAACTATGGTTACGCCCTAAAACAATAAAATAATCGAATTTGAAAATTCGTTTACCATAAACTTCTCTAAAAATCAAACTACGGATAAAAAATTTGATCAATCACAGATCTTTGCGTTGAAAAATTATTCGCTTTTCATTATACCTATATTCAGTATTATTTACGTACTAATACAGTATAGTTAAACAAAGCCTAACAGTGATTAATTTTAGAAATCCTTCAATCAATTAAATACCTTCTAGTACAGACTATAGAGATTCAAAATGTAATTACTTCGCCAGATTAAGGTTAACTACGATTTAATACAATTTATTATCGAGTTGTGATATTATTAGATCCTCGATCACTTCAACGAAGATATTATAACAATGAATTAATTGGCACTAAGATCTTAAATAATGCAAATATGAAGACGAAGGGTCAACGCCCTTTTAGGTCAGTTGAAATTATTTTTTTCTCGTTCGTTCGTTTGGTGGTTACGATTGCAAATGCAACTTTAATTATCAAGCATAAAGATCCAAATTTCAAAGTCACATTTTGATTATGATCATAGTGGTTATGATTATATTATACATGTACTGATTTGGACCTTTATACTCGATAGTTAAAGATGCATTTGCAAGGTTATGATTGCAAATGCAACTTTAACTATCAAGTATAAAGGTTCAAATTTGAAAGTCACATTTTAGGTTTAGGCTATCCGTATACATGATTAAGAACTATGTGTTGTGTGATTGTGTGCCACCATTGAGTTTTGAAGTCTCCAGAGAACTTCTTGTAGTAAGCTCGCCTCTTACTTCGAACACCTAGGCCAAAGTATTTAAGCTCATCGGAGATCACTTATTTCAAGAAATTAACAGATGAACAATCAATTTCAATTAACCAATTTATTAATTAACACGTATCGTATAACAATGTCATCAATCTACTTACAGATTTGCACTTGATCGAGTCAACGCACTCCGTACTAACCAATTAACAGAATTAATTGATTCTGAATAGTACCAATTATATTGTTTTAAGATAATTTGTACTGCCCGCCATTGGTCTGAGACAAGAGGTCTAGTAGTTGGTAGAAATATATCAAAAGCATAGTTTATTGAATTAAGAATAACGAAAATCGATAAAACTCGACTACAGTTCTAGAAACCACTCCATAAACGAAGCAGTTTCGTATTGTAAATTACAAGCTACAGTCTCGCGGTTTCACCCGTTGCTCGGCTCCTACAGATCGTAGTGTGATATTTTATAGCCTTCCTCGATAAATGGACTAACAAACACAATAAGAATTGTTCAATTCGAACCAGTAGTTTCGGAGACTAGCGCGTTCAAACAAACAAACATAGCTTTATAATATTAATAATATATAATATTAATAATAGATTATATTACTTAATGCTTTATATTATTACTACTTATTATAAGCCAGTGCCCAATATTTTTTTACGATAATACCTACATCATGAAAGAACTACATTCGAAGTTCTCCAACCGTTGAAAAGAGAACCAAATAATTCCTAAAATGAAATCCATTGAAATATCGTGTAAAGTATGGCTAATAAGCCATCCTACTTGTATGAAAGGAGTTTCCTTTTCAAAGTACTTTTCATGTGAGCTCTAAGAGTCCTTGAGGAACCCCATTTTGTGGGTGCTGATGTAAGTAGCTTCAGATCCATTCATAAGCTTAGTACACCGCTACACGGGCTTAGCTCGGAATGTAGACTACATTACCTACTCTCCTTGTTGTTTTTGAAACTATCCTTATATGTTAATGTAAGGAATTTTAGCCGTGTAAACAGAAATGACTTTTTTTGACAGGGTAAAAGAGACAGTAACACCCGGATTCCGAAAGGCCGATCAATGTTAAAATCAATTTAATATCTTGTCAAGTCATCTGATTGGTTGACTGAATTATCAACAATCAATCAGATGACTTGACAAGAGATTTAACAGAAGATTTGTTTATTTAAGCGTTGACAAGCCTTTCAGAAACGGGTTGTAAGAGTCTAAAACTCTCTCTCTCGTCTTATCCTGGGCGGGAGAAGTAATTTGATGATTTTGCCTTCTCAAAAAAGGGGTCATATTTTTGACAGAAATTGGGAACACAATAATGTAAATAAAAGATGACGATGTAAGATTGTGTTCATCATTGCACTGTCCGGAGAGTCACGAGTCTCTTATAGTGGTAGTATGAATTTCAAAGATTTATTTTTCTCGTTATTTTTGTAAACTTATAATGAAAGGCTTAATAACATATCATACCTACATTAGCTCAATTACAATTTTATGCGTGACCTAAATATGACATGTTTATGGCTTTACAAAAAAATATTATGAGGTAAAATGTGTGAGGACTATAAACTGTTTTATAACTAACTATATTTTAGGCGTTCTTGGAAAAACGTGATATAAAGCCTACTACGAGAAGTTACTTAAATCTAATTTCGTTGGACCAATATTAATAAATAGTTTATTCATGATCACTCTATCATCATATTATTAAAAGCCCAATATAAACCAATTGCTGAAATTCAAGCAGAAAATATTTATTTACAGCAAAATGCAGCATCTGCTTTTATAATACTAAATTTTCTATTAAGATTAAATCATATTATTACAGCAAGCTATATTTAATTTGAAGGATTTATACAATATTTGAGGTAAAATGTTAAAATCTGTTTTTGCTGGCCGCTATGATTCACTGCGAAAGCAGCGTCAAAAAAAATAAAAGCTTCACGAAAATGAACAAAGAATTTTTATTTAAAAAATTATAAGAAAACGTTGAACGAAAAATGAGATAAATAAATTCGAGCACAATGGCGGACCGCGATTTTTTTGTATGCCAATGATTCGTTCACGAAAACTCACAGAATTCGGAGCCATTGTTTAATTTGTATCAGGCTGCCCAATTATCGGGTTGGTCCGCTTGTATTTCATTACAAATATTCACTCATTGGTTGAATATGAATCATGAATAATTGGTGTATTTGTCTCTCTCACATATTACTTTATTAATACTTTTACTTGAAATAAAAAGAATGGCAACAAGTCACTGTTTGAACACGTTATTTTATTATTTTGATTTGTGTGTAGATACTATGGCGAACCTACAAATTAGGTTATAACTTAAATCCCAAATTAAAAAAATTAAGTGGGTTACTCACGTAAATATACTGAGAAAAGTTCTACTAGTTTCGAACCACAGAGGGGTTCTTCATCATGAGCAGCGTGTGCGGACGCGGCGATGTCGTGCAGCCTACTAGGCTGCCTAACCTAGGCTGCCTAACCTAGGCTGCCTAACCTAGGCTGTGCTAATTTTAGTTAATTTGGTATATCTCACGATAGTTATAATAAAAATTACGAAATGATTTGATGTAACATGCCTAAATCTTCATCGGCGAAAAACAGAATTGCAGCCGGGGTTGCAATTCAAGAACTGCAGCCCAGGTCCGGAGCAGGACAAGGAACGGGTTGGTTTTTAGTCAGTATTATGTATGACAATCTATTTCCCCAGCCAAAAAAAAATTATATTTTTATCAAAATATAACAGACGCTTTATTTTCCCTCTGTGTAAAAATGTTTATCTATCAATAGGTGGAACCTATTAACTGAAGTTTGAAGACATGTTGCTAGGTACACTAGTGTAGATAAACAACAAATATCAGTCAGGTAACGCGATCTATCACACTAAAAAAACATTTAAGGTTTAGCACAAATGGATCTTTCGAAATGAAAGTAATTCATTTATCTTCCTTATTCGCTTGTTTTGCCCAGCCCCAGTTTCAGTGAGGTTATCAATAAATCACGTGCCTTGTTTCCTTACTTAGGATAATTTCTTTTACCTTTGCCTATCCCGCCGTTGTTCGTAAAATCATTTGTATATTTTTTTTACATCGCGTTCGTAGGGTTGCCTCCACGATGCGTAGTTACACTTGAAAGGGTCGCACAGATATTGCTAAAGTTGTTTTCTTCGATGTCTTTGAGGAATTATTTCTTTGAGAAACTTGAACAGTACACATGCCAATAAATTTAGTTACCTGCTTATTTATTTTTATGGCAGTTTTACTCTTTGGCAATCAATGTTTGAGTCTTTGATAGTTTATCATAACCGTTAAACGATTCATTAAGCAGCTCCCTAAAATATCGCAGTATAAATTTATTGCTTTACATTTGTACTGAATGCTGTACATTTAGATACGTACTATCTTCAAATTGAGTCGTATAATCATGGTGATAGAGTATTATTTGTATTTCTCTGTGTTACGACCATCGTAAATTTTATTATATTGTTACCTACTAAGTTTTCTGACCCTGGATACACGAAAAAACCAACGAAGCTCACAAATTACGACAGAAAAAACGTGGCTCAGGTAACGTGTTTTAGAAGAATATCTACGTAAATTCTTCATTCGTAAAATGGATTTGCGTCTAAAACCTACCTAAAAAAACGATGTAAAGTTGGTCCCTCATCACAGTAGATTTATAATGCTGGCAACGGCAGAATGTTTATGTCAAATTTAAAGCTAAAATAGAGTAGCGACAACCCTGATTGTGCGTTGTACGTACATAGGTATACGTCACAGAATCCTTTTGCCTTTCCAGGAAAACTATGATAAGCGCTTTATAGGTTTGTAGAAAAAGGGTCTCAGATTCCTAGACATTTAAGGGCAGAACACAATATCTCCCTCTAAATAGGCAGACGATTCGTTGCCAAAATTCTAGAACTTTCCCAACTGCTAAATATTTAATTTGAAGTCAAATAATTAAATATTCACTACTTAAATATTATCAAAAGGTATTTAGTTTGGAATGGTTCGTCAGACGCTGGAAACGTTGAAGATTTTCAACGTGTAATAAATTAGTTTTTTCCTCTCATTTTTTATTATAAAACTAAAAACAGAGATGGCTGAAAATTTGTATTCCTACTATGATAAGATTATTCGAAAAGTTCATATTTTTATTAAAAATCATGTTTGAAGATACATTCCTTTAAGTACCTCCACACCAAATTTATTTATTTTCCATTTTTATTTTTGTGCTTTATGAACAATTGCATATCGTAGGAGTTAATACTAAAATCATTTACACCCATAATGTTCATCCCAATAACACAGTCAACAATAGTGAAGGCACATACATAATTTCAATACCATTACAAACGTATAAACAGTGTTAATCCACAATACCTAACTATCATAGCAATAAGAATACTCAGCCTTCAGCCCACACAAAAGACTTCAACACAATTCACAAATAAAGCAATTCCTAGCGAACAGCGAGCACTTCAAGAAAAAAATATGAATTCGTAAAGCATATAAAACTAATTTACCATGAACGAACAGACGTAGGCCTTGAAAAAACATGACACGGTAGATGTTTCCCATTCTTATGTAGGCGCTTACTTTTCATGTATTTTCTTTATATTTCACATAGATTTTTTGGAGGAAAATGGTAAAAATGCTTTAAGAAGTTTATACTTTATGAATAATGTGATTAAATTGAAGAATATGATCGTGAATGTATAGGTAATTTATAAAAGACGTTGTTTTTAATGTTTATTGATTTTTTTGAGGTTACTTTGAACTAATTGGGTAAACATAATATACGTTATCCTTTTGTTTTCGGAATCTTCCAGAAATTAGTTCATGGGTGTCAAAAAGTTAACTAAAGAAGACGAAACCAAAAATTTTGATTTCAAAATATCAGCATATCGATGTGATACTGCGTAGCAACAAAGTTCTGACAGACAATTATAGAAGATATTTATTATGTATTATTTAAATACAAATGCATTATATCTCAATGTTCTTGATCTTATTGATCAACATTGAAGACTTAATCAATTAGTTAAAATGGGTATAGACAATAAAACTCTAGTCGAATAACTTTTCTATAGATGCCCAAAACATTCTTTCAATGAATGATTTTTTTCTTTTTAATTGGAAAGAAACTTTATGTAGGTCAATGTAGACACGACATTATTTATGAATGATACTGTTTCTGATAAGTATACTATCACAAGCATCATAAGTACACTATTACAGGATTAATTCAAGCACTTGAATTATAAAATATCGTCAAATTCATGTATAGCAGACGAGATTATCATACGAAATAAGTACGGTTCATTATGCTTAAAGTAATTCTCTTAACATGCAAACTGATTCCAATATACTTTGATACAAAAATGCCGTTACAGCAAAAAAGCAAGCGCTCTTTGTAAGTAGGCACTTAACTATAAAAGGCTCAACTGCTCTGATTAAAATTTAATCACTAATGCTACAACAATCTGTGGTCGCTACCAAGAGCGTCTATTTTGAGCTAAATACGCGGCTTTTTCCAAGAACTGTGACCTTATTTAGTCTGACTAACAACCAAAATTACTTTATTATCGTTGTTTGTCTACATCACTAGCATGTTCCATAACAAATTTGCGCAGAGAGACATGTACTAAAACCAATTTCCCTTGTGTAATAGAACGTCAAATCTTCAAAGAAATCATCCGAAGAATCCCTTAACTTTCAAACTCGAATACGCATACAAGAAACTTGAACGATCCAACTGTTATAAGTAGTTTGTCTCAAATGTTGTCTATTTTATGTGGATAGAGTGACATATAATCTGTGTGATGGAAGCTAAATTAACTTTGTCATTAAAAAAGTGAGGTTATGTTTTTGCCCTTCACAATGACATAAATATTTGACATCCACTGTGTAGACGTAGCGATACAAATAAACAAATGATTATTAGAACTTACTTTTTATCCATTGCAGTCCTAGTCACGTACACTAAGCAGAATATAATCTACCACGATTCACACCACATAATTTCAGACACACAATCACAGATAATCACGAAAACACTGCACATTTAGCCACAACCGGTATGCCACTATACTTAATTGTAACTACAGCAACACTCGATTTGACGGCACGCCCAAATCTTATCATGATTATCAGGTTCTACATACTGATAACGCGTTAGAGCATACCTGTATTATATATTTCTTGTAATACCCATCGATTAGTTAAGATATGGAGAAGGTAAAGTCTACTGTTTCAAGTTTGTTTAATGTGTAATAATGTAATATACAAAAAATAGTTTATTATGTCTATAAGAAAGTACATTACATGTTAACGTGTTTGGAGCCCCTATTTAAGCAAACAATGCCTGTATTTATTATAATTCGCTTTCGAAATTATACACCGAAAAATCTTTACAGGGTACTTTAATTAATCTATACATACTGAAAAAATAAGTCAAGGCATTAAAAGTCTTAAAAGCTTTTTTAAAAAAAAACATATTTTCTTATTAATTTTCAATTAATTTTCTTTGTATACATACATAAATTAGTTTTTTTGTGTGTGTGTGAGTTGGTTAAATTTAAATATCAGTATTTAAATTGAATTTCTATAAAAGTGTAAATATTAAATTTGAGCCTTAATAAACAAATTAAATTAGAAGTTTGATACACTAAGGCCCAAGCTTTAGGCTAGCATTAAAAATAAAGTTTATATGAAAAAAGTTTTACGTTAAATTACATTGCTGAGTGATTTTGAAAGCAGACCTTTTAAAAATAATATTTATAGCACTTATGAACACAGAATTATCATATAATGATAAAGTTTCACAACATTTTATTTTAAAGCGCTCACAACGTCAAATTCTAAAATTAAATAATAACAGAAAAGATGGCGTCAACTATTTTCTTACTTTGAATTTGACAGTGACAGAATATCATATTATACGATTAGTAAAGATTCAAGTTTTGTCTTGAGCTAACTTAAGATGTTGGTAAAATAAACTTTTAGATATTACAACAAGTTTAAAACCTATGTCAGATACAAGATAATTAAAAAAAAAGAAATTTTCTTTCACGGTTCGATGTAGATTCTGTACCTAAATAGATTTTGATTACATTCTAGAAGCCAATTTTACATGGTTTCTTTAAAAAACTCTTTTAATAAATCTAATATTTAGGTATAAAAAGAGTTAAGAGTCCTTAAAATTCTTATCTGATCTTTTCATCTACTACGTAACAAATTTATCCTGATTAGAAACTTAAGTATTTGGTTTAACAGGTAAAGATTTTGTTTTTTTTAGGTACACCTTTAATTGTCATCTAATTCCGCAATACATCGAAACGCAAAGGAGATTAATTTTCATGTACAAATGTAGATATCATGTGTATTCGCTATCAAATCCAGTAGTTTACGATGCAATAGATAACGTAAAATAGAATTATGTAGGACACTTACCAATTTTGGTACAATTCCAAGAGCTTAATGCAGACTAAAATCATTTTGCGTTACACTACAATTGCGAGAACAGTGGTCGCTTGAACAATCGGTGAATTTAAGTGCCAAGAAAAATACTGCTCCGTAAGTTCGAAAGGTATGTGAAAAGAAAATGACGTCACCAAATTTATAGACTGAGAAAAGGCCACTCGTAACTCTACCTAATGAAATGCGATGTGGACCGCGACATCAAAGGTTCGGGAGATAAAGGGAATGGAATAGTCAGTCCCTACCGACGTACCTACTACATATACATACGGGAATACAACAATAGAAGCCAACAGATGAATACGCCGAAATGTTCGTCGAATATTTAGTGAAACGACGAACGTTGCCGAGAAGCTAATCAGCGCGTATGTGAGTTGCTCACAAACCTCGATCGTTAGCCAGCCGCCATCAATCACACGTTATCGGCATCAACCACAAAATATTAACCAATTATGACGGCTCGGCTTTCGCTATCATCGGCGAATTATTAAAAACGATTTATGCTCCGATCTGTGAGTTACGCAGTTACACACAGATTCGTGAAACATCTATTGCGCATCAAGTTTACATTTCTCTGAACTTTCGTTCAATGTCACTTTTTGAATGGTGTTTTTTTTGGTTGGCTATGTTACTCGTATATTGGTTTCATTAATGTTAAGTATTTACTAATTAAGTTTGCATAACTAGAATCATAAGGCCCTACACCAATTTATTTTTGTTTTGCAAGACTGCAAAATGGTCAGGTTGAGTACTTACCAATCATGTGGTGGTTGTGGCCGTCTGCGAGCCTGTACACAGCACGGAGGCTCCTGTGGCTCGCAGGGCAGCTGCAGCGCAGGTGGTGGTGGCGGTGGCGGCGTGCAGGCCAGCCTGCGGGCGGCCGCCGCGCCCACGTACTCCACGTAGCGGGACGGCGGCGGCGAGCCCGCGATATCCTCGCGACATGCTGGCCCGCAGCACTTGCGCGGCGCTGGCGGGGGCGGCCTGCACGCCAGCCCGCAGTATACCGGTGGTGGAGGCCGCAGTGGCGCAGGCGGCCGGGGCACGTAGCGCTCCACGGGCACGTGGGCTGCTGGTGGCACATATCGGGGCCGCCGCGCGCGCTCCGCCTCTGCACAGCGGCGCACCCGCCGCGGGGACGCCGAGAACCGATCCGGCAGCGGCGCGGGCGGCGGCGGGCTGAGCCTCTCCGGCGGCGCCACGCTGAACGCGCCCGTCGCCGGGAAGCGCTCGCACGGTGAGCGCGCGTACTCCTCGCCCATGGCGCGCGGTCAGCCGGGCCCGCCGCCGCCCGCGCGCCCTCCCAACCACGCCAACACTCTGTCTCACATGCCGCGCGACCACTCTAGCACTATCACTGGGCGGGCGCTCCGCTCGTGTTCGGGGGCTGCGGCGCTGTCCCGATGTCCGCATTCACTCCGCGGGCGCCATGACGCTACCGGATCGATAGCGGCGCGGGGCGGCCTCAGAGGGCGCACGCCGCGGGTCCACTTCCACGACGCATCGCTCGTTCCTTGAGGCTTATATGGAGCTTTCGCAACGAGCTTTTAAGCTGGGGCGAGGCGAAAGTGCGTCCTCGGCCAAGATGGCCGCTCTCATCATGTCCGCTAGTGGCGCGCCTGCGCTAATGCCGTGTGATGTGTTTGTTTTCACCAGATACTGATTTTGCACAACTCGCGACACTGGGTGGTTCCTGGAGCTATGTCTCGATGGGGTTCACAGTAAACAGTCACGGGGTGATGGTGCGCGTCGCGGTGTGGTGGTCGGCGCGGCTCGGCTCGGGTGCCGAGGGTGTCGCGGGTGTCGAGTGTGACGTGCGCCGTCGGGGTGGCGGCGCGCGGGGTGCGGAGCGCGCCGACGTCAGGCCGGTGCGCTATCGACGCCGAGCGCCGCCGCGCAGCCCGCGCCGCGCCACGCAACACACTTCACACCGCACCGACACAAACACTCGATTGCAAAACGAACGACCGTCTCCTCTAGCCTACTTTTATATTTCCAGATCCTGTTCACACGAAACCTTAATTTGATCCGATTTTATTGAAATTACTCTGATCTCCAATTGCAGAATAAGCTCGTCGCTCCTAAAAAGCGCATTTGAGATCAAGTGGCTACGACGAAATAACTTACGTTCTACACGTTTTACATTTGGAGGGCACAAAAGGCACAGGCAGAAAACTATGCATCATTTATTTTGTTTTGACACACAGGTTACAATAACTCGAGGGAACGTATGAAGTAGCCACGCACATAATACACATAGCAATCTAAAAGACCGTGAGATTGGTAAAAGGGCAATAAAGAAAATGCCCACGGCATGACCTTTCATGTAGCTAATTTTCTTACAATCTTTTTACATTATCGAATGGGCAGAAACGGCTGTGTCGCAGTCCTCTGAAGCTGTAGACTCACTAGCGAAATAGGTTAAGAACCTATTCGTGACATTACTGTTTTAGGATAAACTTTTCGCGCTCCCTCTCTGTTTGTACGCGAATATTGACCCAATTTTATATGCAGAGCGCTTCGATTAACATGAAAGCAGTTTCACAGATTTCACTAATAAAGTCGAGTTTCGAATAACAGAGATTAATTTACATTTAATCTTTATTCGTAGCTGTAATTTTTCGAATGAACTTGTAAGTATTTTCTTATTATAATTAATGGGAACAAGGAAAACCATAATGAGGTTTGATTAAGCTGATAGCTGAATTAAACTTTATCAATAAAAAGAATGAAAGAAAATTTGCGTGGGGGTACAACTTTGACATAAGGATGGTAGATACGTCACTGTGTAGATGTACAGACCTATATATATATATATAACTGTGTCGTTGGTATCGACATCACTCACCTTCACTTGTCATGCAAACTGAGTATGTATTATTCAGTATATGTTAAGGATAACACGCATCTCTGAATTGACGTTGGAAAACGAGAAATGTCGGTCTCAGTTCTACCTCTAAGATGGGAGTAAATTAAGTAGGCAAGACCTAACTACGTTAGAGGAGGGCACGACAGTTATTCGCGTCACGTTTTGAACCTAGCAGTTGTCAATTGTTGCTATTAGGACAAATTAAGTGTAGCTTGTTCGGAATAGAAGTTTCTAGGTGTAATATCTGCTTGTGAAATATGATTACAGTTCGTAATACCTTACCTATACCGTATTCAGCGTTTGAATAGGTTTTAATGAAGGACGTGTTAAGGAACCATAACAGTATTTATCATTTTACGATGAAATAGTTTGAAATTTTGTCTCAGGGATTTAGATTGGAATAGCCTCAGAAAGGCCGGCAACGCACCTGTGCCTCCCCTGGTGTTGCGGATGTCCATGGGCGGCGCCGACCGCTTACCATCAGGTGATCCATCTGCTCGTTTGCCACCTATTCCATAAAAAAAAAGACTCCCTAATTCAAATGACACCCAATCGTATAAGTGTTTTGAGCTACAAATTATATAAGTATAGAAATCAGGAATGTTTTCTAACGTTTAATGGTATATAACCTTTGTGTTGAATATGACCAAAGAGTAACAGTAGCATAAAAATTAACCTTTTTGAGGAAAACCGCAGCGTTCTTTTTTCAATATCGGCTATGCACTTATGTCATTTCTCTGGCATTGCGGATATGCATTGACGACACTGGTCACTATATAACCATCAGATGATCCATGCTTGCACATTTGGCTTACCTTACCCGCATGCTCGAACAAACAAAGTAACCATTATCAAACTCCAACTTCTTAGCTGCAAACACAAAAATCATACAATACAATAAAGAGAAAGAAATACACTTTCGCATTTCGCATCATATTAGTAAGTTATCAGGAACCATTTCCTTTCAAAACCACGATGATAGGAATAGAACAATTTATAGGAATATTCGGTTACCATGCAGGGTTCCGTTGAAACGTGAACACAAACAATGGGACAACGGAATTCCCATGGTTTTGTAACAAGGCGGGGTCACGCAAACAACTGTTTGTATTGTGTTACTTAGATTGGCTTGCCAGACTCAAGGATTCAACGTAATTATATGTATATGGAATATATAGGGAGTCTTCTAAAGTAATGTCAAAAACATTAGTAAGTATTTGTTGCTTTGTACTTACGTCACGATCTCGCTAGGTAGGGACAAATATACCACAGGTAATTCCAGATAGATCCCGGGGCTATTCTTATAAGTTTGTCAGAATATGGACGCAATAATAAGAATTCACAAAGCATTGCCGTCCTTTTGGAGGTTAGAAATTGTGGATTAGGGTATTTAAAGATTGGAACTAGGAGAGGGTAAAGCCAATCCGTATCCGACAAGCTCACTTACTCACTGAAATACATCACAATCGCTTTTTCTGCTACTTTTCCTAAACCGAATCAGAATCACACGCCTGATAGTCACACTTCGTACCATTTAATCAACGATGTAGTCACTATACATGATCTTCAGCCCATGTGTGACCACTGCTAAGCAAAAACCTCTTTTTACCCGGAGAAGGTTTGAGCATTAATCGCCACCCTTTCTCAAGACGGATTGACGATTTCAAACTTAACTATAATTTGAAATTAAAAGTCCAAGTTTCATCGGGACATTTTCCTTCACCGTATGCCACTTCACTGTACAATATATGTAATTTAGCGTATAATTAACCAACATTCAAGTTCTATTACGTTCATATCACATTCGTACCCATTCATAGGCCGCCTATAACAATATTACCTACGCTTTAGAACAGCTTCAACACGACTCCGAATTAGTTAATACTTGATTAAATTAACCGGAATAATATGTCTAGTAATTATGTAGAAGGAATTATGGGAAGACTACAGTCTGTTACTTTCATAGTATTGTTCTAGATTATTTTGGGCGATTATTAAAATGATGGTTAAGTCTTTACGAGTTTGTCCGCCTTTCTCGTGATCGGCCGGGAGAGGGGGAAATCATCAAATAACTCTACGGTTGACTGCTCGGTTGGCGCAGTGGCTGGGCAACTAGCTGCTGTGCAACGTGTCGTGGATTCGATTCCCGCACAGAACAACAGTTTGTATGATCCACAAATTATTGTTTCGGGTCTACGTGTCTTGTGTATGTGAATTTGTATGTTTATAAATACCTACACCCACAACACAGGACAAAATCTTACTGTAGTGTAGGGTAACATTTTAATAAAAAAGTTTTTCTTTTCTTGACATTCGTAAAAGCGACAACTCAAGCAATTAGGTAATTAATTACACAAAAAGTACTATCATAATATTATAATGTAAAACGTATACAAACTAGAACGTTTCCAAATATGTTTGTGACACATAAACAAAATGAAGGTAAAATTCCTGGAATAGCCGTTCCTGAGAGCAACTCGACCTAATATTGACCTTGTGTAACCTTGGACCTTCTGGTCAATAATGGCCGCCGCATATGATAAGTTAACTACCTAATTTACATAAAACGTAGAGGTTTTTTCAAGTACAAATCATATTTATTATATATCTAAGTGTGGGATACCATGCTTCGGCAGGAATGGGTCGGCTCGACCGGAGTGATACTACAGTCTCACAGAAAACCAGCGTGAAACAACGATTGCGTTGTGTTCCGCTTCGTGTGTGAGGTAACGGGAGGCCCTTTCCCTGCCCCCATCCCTCCCGAAAGCCTAATCTCCAAAAGGCCGGCAACTCGTTTAGTGTTGCGGGTGTCTATGGGCGGCACCGATTGCTTACTATCAGGTAATTCATCAGCTCGTTTGTTCTATCTATCACATAACCTTTATTGTAAGGCAAAAATCATCATTCGGCTTCTCCCGCCCCGGATCGGGCGGGAAGGACTGTCTGTTACTGGCTAAAAAAACCTAGTACCCCAATATTAAATTTCAGTCTATATCTTTGATCCAGTCATCGTAATTGCACCCCTGCTGGCTTTAGGGAGAAAAAACATTGGGGCTTTTCGAGTTCTTCGAAATTTAACCTCCGGTGTATAACATAACCCCTAAAATAACATACACACCCCTTTAATTACAAGAAGGCGCAAAATTTTGCCGTGAGGCAGGACATCTGCCTGCCTATTTTTTACTATAACTTACCTATCACCACTGTTAGATATCTATATAATCATGCTATACTTAGTTAATAATTATGTAATAACTATCAAATCTGCCTATTGCATAAAACCACAACGCCTGGAATAATTCAGTCAATACCTTTTTTGTTCTGTTTGTTATTGCCAGGAGAAGGATCTTATGAAAAAAATTTAAAAAAGTATAGGGGAAGCTGAAAAAATAACCTGAATATAGTTGGATATATGCGCGATGCTGATGGCACGGGGCCGAGTTGCTAGTATGAAATATAGGTATAAACGATAAAGTAAATGCAAGCTTACCCATACTTCAACTTACTAACTCCTTTGCCGATTAAAACAAACTAAGGAACCTGTGTCCTATCCACACTGCTTACACAACATAAGTTACGAAACCTGACCTTTGATATTTCGTCAAAATAACAAACAAGGAAAACTTGAACGTTATTAACCTTAACTTGCTGATATTTAATCTATATACATAAGTGTGCGTAATCGATGTTCCTATTCGATATTTTAATTGACGTATCTATTGAAAATTGGTATTACTTATAACAATGATCGAGACACAGAGGATCGAGTTGGTTATATCAGTTAAGTTTGTTAAGGTTAAATCGCTAATTGGTGACACTTTCATATTGGCACGTTTGTTGTTGTTAGAATCACGCTAAAACGGCTGAACGGATCTGGGTGAAATTTGGCATAGGTATATGATACACTTCGGAATAGGACATAGGCTTCATTTTTTTATTTAATATACCACGCGGACAAAGCCACAGGCGGAAGCTAGTAGGTCATAAAACTGCACTTTAATACGCCTACTATCTTACTACTTTGAAAAGAAATGTAAAAACAGTATCAGAGGTCAACAAATAAAATGTAAAAATTCGCATTGTTTCCAAAAAAATTTACAAATTTAAACTTCGCTCTTAAGACACATAAAGGTGTTATGTGTCTTAAGAGAGAGAGAGAGTGGATACCTGCAAGTTCTAATATTTTCTAAATCAAATTCAAAAATGCACTGCCTGATGAAGGTAAAATTAACGTACAGCAGAAGTGAGTCTTAAGCTGATCACAACATCAAAGATGTAAGCACCATCCGATGAAATCATAGATCCGGGAGTCAAGGCTCCTGCTAAGAAACCGCGATTACAACTGCTCCGACTCGACGAACGACGCAGCCTTGGCAATTTTAATACATCATTTCTAATTTTCCATCACATTTTACAACTTTCGAAGAGATGTTTTCCATTTTATCTGGAGTAATCTTCATAAATGTGGGTAATATTTAACAGATTATCCGGCGTTTAGGCACGAAGCGAAAGCATGAACCAATCACGATTATTACGCACGAATTATGGCCAATAGCCGTCAGTTCTGTGGGAAGGGAACGCTGATTTTCTGACACATTTAGCTAGAACGATCGATCTTGGAGCAGTGATGGCGAATGACAAAAATGCGGAGTTAAATCTTGTAAATATGTTTGTTTATTAGACAATAGACACTGATCTTGTACTGAAGATACCTATTACTTTAGCCAGGAGTACCTGCGAGTGCAATGATGCACCGTGACCTCAGCGCGGAACAGAGATAAGGACATGGTGGTTTTTAGTCAGAAAGTATGACGTACAATTGTCATTTAGTCAGAGACTGTTACATATCCTTTCGACCCGGGGTTAAAAAAATACTTTACCTATTTTAAAGCATTTGCAATGTCTCTTAGAATTTGTCGAAATGGATGTTGTAGTAGACCAGACTATAACTTTAGTAAAATAATCGCTAATGAAACTAATTTTTAGAACGAAAATGCCGTTGTTGATTTAGGTTTTCTACTTATTCATGTAAGGTTATTATGAAATTACCAACCCAACTTACTTATAACTCAATACGAAATTCCTAGCATTACAAATAACTTACATTTAAAATCTTTGCCTATTTTAAAGCAACAGTTGTGCCTTTATGACCATATGTAAATACGTACCTGCTTAACAGACAAAACAAAATTTTATTTACAAATTGAAAGATGTCTTCAAATAAACTAAGACTTTAAAAACCGATTAAGCTTAACAACACGGGAACTATTAAAAAAGTAGATTACTTCATTAAAACTCTTTATAGTGAATTATGGTTCTTTAATTTCATTTGCAATAGTTTACTTAACATTTTTTATACCTGTAGTAAAATTATTAACCTGCCACTTTCATCTCTGCGTTACCTAAAGGTCAAAAGGAGAAAATGCCTAAGGCATTAAGTCCACTCACACAATGTTTTGTATTTAGTTTAATAAATAAATAATAACAAGCGTTCTGCAGCTTAACACTGGTGGTAATAGGATAAAGGCCCAATCAGACCGGGAGTGTCTAATGCAAGCATGCTTTGTGTCTAGTGTTTTAAGTGTGGGAGAGCCATGCTTCGGCACGAATGGGTCGGCCTCACAGAAAACCGGCGTGACACAACCACAGCGTTGTGTTTCGCCGTGTCAGTGAGGTTACCGGAGACCCAATACTTTCCCTCCCCAATCCCTAAACCTTTAAATCCCTAACCCCCAAACGCATCGCACTCACCGACTCATTCGTGCCGAAGCATGGCTCTCCCACACTTAAATCATCTAGTTTACCTGCTACAATAAATCTTTTAAGTAACACAAACACATTAAAAACGTGTTCATATTTGCTGAGAACGCTTTAACTATCCTTTGAATAAAAACAATGATCAGAAACGAAATGACACGATCAAACAATCGTCCAGGCAATTAGATAATGTTAATGAACGTGCCTCGAGTGAGGGCCAACGGGTAACTGAGTAACATACGGTCCACGGGAGATTTCAGGGGTAAGGGGAATAAGGGGTAAGTGGGTAAGGGGTAAGGGGTAAGCTATTAATGAGCTCGCACGCAAACTCGTTACTCTCCTCACGATTGGTAACGACATTAAACGCTTTTATTAAGTTGTCGAGCCTTTTTAATTTTTATTTTTAATATCTTTCAGTCTATGGGTGCTTAATCATAGGACCTTAACCCTATTTATCTCGTATTTGAAATAATTGTTTTTAACAAAATTCCTATCGTAAGTACATTTAAAATTTTGGTGGAACAAGGATACTACTAGCTAGATATAAAGCTAATAAGTAATTTTAATTAAGTCACCACAATTAAATGTAATTAACATAGTAACGGACTAACTATTGCAAACTGGAGCCGTGGCAAGATTACTTTTTGCCTTGAAAGTAACGTGCCGTATCTTTAGAGTGTAGATAAATCAATTTGCTGCACTCTTTTAGTACCTACATATTACACATCTAATTATTTTTTTTTTTACAAAATTCAAAAACTTTACAACGAAACAAAAAGAACACAAATAGGTACAAGACAATAATTTCCCAACAACATATCACCAAAGATTACGCACGATTAAGCAATTAGTCGTAGCAATTCTTGTAATCCTATTTCATGTAAAAATACAGACAGAACCTACTTAATTGTTGCTAAAAGCTCGATAAACCCACCGTTTACCGAATAACACGGTATCTTGTATCACAATAGTGTCTTCTGTCTTTCACGACCCAATTAAAGATAATAGGACATGACTGGGTAACGAATGAAGACACCTGACTCCGAACACACACACATTTCCACGTTTTATGACCTCCCCTGAAATATCAAGGACGAATACATAGTAAATAGATAGCCTAGATCTTAGGTACACTAGGAAAAGAGAGAAAACTAGATTAATAAAATATCATTTTGTTAGGTACTGCAAACACGTCAATAATACCTACTTATCACTAAAATTTATCAATTTGTTTGCACCTACTGAAAAAGTAAAGTAGGTAGGTACACTAAAAGGATAAGGTTACTTGCTTCATGATAAAATAAAGAACTGAGAATATTTTCGAATCATTTACCTGAATCTTATAATAACGAGTCGTACAACTTAAACATTTTGTGTTTAAGTTGTACGACTACATCATCAAATTTTTCAAAATGTTTCGTGTGCCATGGCTACAGAAAAGATTTCTGTCCTGATTATTCGTCTAGACCCTAGACTAGATAAGTTGATGACTGCCACTAAAAATGCTCAAGAGCATTTTTAACTTAAAGTATTGTTTATTTCAAAATTTCGTATTTGATTTATTTTTCAAAAATTATAAAACATACTTAACTTCTTAAATTACGTTCTAGTGATTGTTAAAAAAAATAAGAACCTTTAATATCTACATAGATCCAAGAAAAAAAATACTTAAAAATATGTGAATAATATTAAGTTCAACACGGGTATCGAAACTCGGTAGTTTAACGACTAAACGGCCGACGGCCCACGATATATTAAAAATCTATTACAAACATTGGATGAATTGGAAATACTATAATGACCTACTGACTACAGAATATTGACATTCAATATCCAGAAAAAATAATACCATAAATAAACACGATTTTAAGAATGTTTCGGAATAAATACGACTTATTTTACCCAAGAAGTACGATACCTTCGAAATTTAAATATTGCAGCTTCTAAAGTTTAAAAGATAAAAAAAAAGAAAAAATCTACTTAACAATTTTATGTACCTACACATAAAATTGTTAAGTAGATTTTTTTTTTATTTCGATAAATAACTAAACACTATTATTATTAAAGCAGACATTTCTTTAAAATTTAGGTATTTGGTACATGTTTCACTTTTTATACAATATTTTGTTGAAATCGATGTTTTTTGAATATTTTGTCGAAATCGATTTGTCGGCTTAGTGTCAAGAAATATTAAAAATATGGCCGGCTAATTTAAAAACCGAATTCATAAAATAAAATCATTACAAAATTGTTAATTTTTTTTTCTTTACCTGTTTAAGATAGGTAGTAAATTATGTTGAGTGTATCGGTTTATAATTTATCAAATGTATTTGATAACCTCATAGATATTTACAGACTATATAAGTACCTACCTAGCAAAAAATATGAACATGACTAATCAATTTAACATTTCAGGGACGAGAAAAAGCTACGAAACAAGGTTTATATATTAAATTTAATCATACAATTATTTTTGTTTTCATAATAGTTAGGTATTGACAAATTATAATCAATGAGTATATATATTAAGTATATTATATTACACAACACAAAATAAAACACAATTAAGAAATGTACACTTTTATATTTGCATTTTTACATTCAGTCTTACAACATAGATACCTATTATAATGCTACAATAATACTAAAACTGCTTTAATCTTATTGAAAACCTATAAAACGTACATAACTGGGATAAATTCCGTCATAAACAGCACTTATCTGTATGAGTTATAGTTATAAGAATGAGTGCTCGCCTTTGAATAATTGGGAGAGGGCTCGGGCATCGGCGAAGGACACTCCTCCCACAGCCACCAAATAGTTACCAGCACTTCAAGATTGATCAACATTAATGATATCATAGGGATAGACAACTTACTAATCAAAGCTTTAATCCCTCCTTTTGCCTTCATAAGAGGTTTAATAATTCCTTCAACAATCCCGCCCTGCAGTCCGTTCATGTTCCATCCCGAAGAACCGCCGAAAAGTGAAAACACTAAGTTGAGCAAACCACTAAGATTTCCAGATCCACCTCCATTGGAACCGGCAGGCGATAAAACACTGGATAAATTTAACAGCGACGTTTTCGGCTGAGCTGATGATGGTTGTATGTGAGGAACAAGCGATGCGCTCTCTTGATAATTTGGTGGAGGCGTGTAGTCGGGTCGGTATCCCACCGGCCGGGGTAGCGTGGGATATGCTGGACTATCCTCTCGTCCGGCTGTTGCAGGAGGCCGAAGTCCCTTTAACTCTTGCACCGAACCTTGCGATTGACGTGATTCTTCATTTAGAACTCTCATGAATTCTCCAAACGTCATGTTCTGGTTGCTTCGATTCTCCGACGTGGGAATTTGGGAGTGCCGCTTGTGATTAATGATATTATTGAATCCATGCGGCTGTGGCACATTTGCTTGAAAATTAGGCTGGTATTGTGTTGGTGGGTTCGTCATGTATGGATCCGCAGCCCGCACTTCGAAAGGAGGGACTAACATTACATTGTCACCCGGATATGCATAAATTAATCGAACCGAATATAATACGAACAACGATATTATGATATACACTTGACTCATTGTGACTAAGTTATCAAAACAAATATGTACAATTACCTAAACACACTTACTTATAAATTAGCGAAACATCGATAAATTGCAAGTTGGCAGTTCATGTTAGCCGCACAATATCTGGGTCACGATGTGAATGAAGCAACTGCATTGTCCTACATACTTGAATGTTAGTAAACATTAAGATGTCAGCTAATATCGATTCCGGAACTACAGTCCAGAGACATACACTGAGCTATTTTATCGTCTGACAAAATGCTAAGCATGCTTTTGGCCAGAGAACCATCCTCTTCTAGGTCATCAATTAAGAAGAATGTTGCTGTTGCACCTATATAATTAGCCCATGTACTCGACGCAGACCTTTGAATGATACAAGCAATCCTCTGCGAACAATCCGAGATTATTCGAGACTTATGACCTTTCTTCTTTTTCTTCTTGAAATATTTCATCATTTTCGATATCATCGGCCAGAGCAGGAATGCCTTAAATCCAATTTTAACAAACAGTAGGAACACTACTGGTAACAGCAGCAATTTACCTACGATCACTTTTAAAAATGCAATTAGCGCAGCAGAGAACATAATTTTACCAACACTACCTAGAATATTTGCAAAAGTTGACAATGTGTCGGATTTAGGACACGACACATAGTGTGGTGGATCAGAATACGTCTTTCGGATTGGTTCCGAATAAAAGTTAGAAGCACCGGTAAACAAGTCCATAAACGGCATGGGTGGTGAATTAGATGGAGACACCGTGCTCAAAGACTGATCTTGAGCACAAGTTCGCGACGCGACAACAAAAACAACGAGTAGCACAAACATAGCTCACAAACTGTTCCGCTTCAAATAACTCCTCTAGTTTAAAACCTCGCCCATGAAATTTGGATTTCAAGATATAATATGCGGGAACAGATAATTATCTCTGTGTAATTTAAAGCAACGGTACAAGGGTCAGGTCATTTAATTTTTAGAGCAAGCAATGAAAGTGTTCTGTGTGATTGTTACGTTTATGACAAAATGAAATAAAAGTTTAGTGTAGAAATAAGAGTGTATTAACAATAAAAACTTTTTCTTACTTAAATACTTAATTAACGATTTATTTTGAGTTTTACTATTTGTTTTATTTTATTACACTAGCTAGACTGTTTGGTTTTCGTCCTTTGCTCACTCTAAAATACGTGTAGTGCATTTGGCGGGAAACTTATGACATGACACAGCAGGGAAGCAAAGCCACAGTGTCAAAAAATATGTAACATCCAGTTGGTCGCGCGCCAAGTTAAATAAATATAGGAATACTTTGTAAATAATATAACCGTGTGAATTCAATACGCATAAATGGTAATTGTTACTAGAAGCGCCTATAAAAGAGCTTGTGAGAGCTGGGATAGCAGTGACGTGTCTCAGAAAAATATTATTCCGCCATGGTGTTCGTCAGGTGAGAAATTACAAACCAAATAGGTACATAATATTTTGTTTAACTATCGTTTAAGTACTTCTGTGTTTGCATAAACTTAATACAATTTATTGTGTTTCCGTTACTAAATCTTATCTAAATAGAATAAATGTAAATAATAAATATATAAAACCAATACAATTAAAATTCTTAACACAAAACAATATTTTGCATAGACAATAGTACCTACAAATACTGATATGGTGCACACAGATAATAAAAAAGAGTTCATAAAATATAGAATTTTGGCATTTAAGTAAATCTTTGTTTAATCTACGCGGGCTTTTATTGCTCGTAATGAATACGATCATTAAACGGGGCAGTGGGTACAGTGTTGTTTTTACTTTATAGTTCTAAAACATAGACTATTTAGTTTTATGAATAATTCAACTAAGAATTTATTCAAGCAACATCAGTCTAGAATAGAAAGTAGCCTAGCAGTCAATGCGTAAATTATAAATAAGTACAGAGTAGGCACAGTGGCGTGCACAAGGGCGAGCGTGGGGGTCATGAATTAACAAGATAGCTTCAAATCTATACATTATTTATATTGCCAGAATTTTCTTATGAATGGAATCAAATTTTCTGCTACTTATTCATTATCTTTATAGGTATTTCAAAATAAGTATTTTTACTTTGAAAAAAAATAATAAAGTGGGTAAACATGATTGAAAACTCGTGTAGACAGATAATCATCTAGCTTTTAGATAGGTACCTACTATATTAGGCGTTCCATCTCACATTAAGTATGCTTCCCTACTAGAAAAATACATGAATAATGTGTAAATTAGGGGATCAGATATATTTAAGACGTTAATATCCATGGCTATAGAATTTATTAAATGCTACCTAACGGATTTTGGAAGTACACTAATTTAGTTTCCTCATGACAGCTACCATTTTTAAATGACAATTCAGTACAAATTGTATCACGTAAAGCTTGTTGTGTTCTTGAATAGCCAATAAGAAATTTCCCCGAGGTATTACCTCCGTGACCTTTGAAATCGACGATTATAATTTGAAGTTCAATATTCACGCTCATTTAGTTACTGGAGCATTCACAATTACAACGGAGAAAGTCCAATCAAATATTGATTCAATGAGAAAATTAAAATATGTAGCTACAAAGTTATTATAGTTTTCTTGGTTGTATCGAAAAATTCTCAGAATAGAGGTTTGACTCACGAAAAAGCATAAAATGAGGCCATTATTCTAAAGTCGGTGCTTAATTTTTGTTAGAACCGGTGTCTGAATGGCATCGGGGAAATAATATTAAATTCCATGGTTGCTTAATTGGGCCACCTGCAACCTAATATTTGGCAAAAGGCTCTCCACTTGTGATGGCTAGAAAAAAGCATCTGGCGACGTCTATTGCTTACCATTATGTGACCCTACGCTTATTTGGTTTCTTTTTACATATTTCTAAGCATATCCAGTAAGAGTGAGTATTCACTGAACCATGTTCGGGCTCCTTTAAATATGAGGTTTTCTCTTGGCATATACTTACTAATATTATAGGTACTAGGCGGGTTTATGAAGACTGCAGCTCAAAAGCTTCAGGTTCGGTAAGCCCCAACCGTCCGGTCTCCGTCAAATGTATAGTCATCGATAGAGCTGAAAGAGTAACCGACTTTTACACGTACCTACCGAAAGAATAGACACCTACCACACACATATTCTATCTTCCATTGTCATAGGGCTTTTAACAGTACCCAAGGTGAGAGTACATAGGTTAGCTAAGTATAAGTACACTTTGCCCATGGTACCTAATATTGGATCGTCTGACCAGCAGCAGGCCTCGATGCGGCGGCGCCGTGTTCCGCGCGCGCCTCATAGTGGAGTCCTGCGGTCGGGGTGACGGCCGCAGTGGGTGACGGGGCGCGCCTTACCATCTGGCGGGCCAATACCGTTTCGATTTCCGCACGGATAAACTCTTTGTGTGATTTACAAATTCTTGTTCTGGGTCTGGGTGTTGTGTGTATGTGAAATTGTACCTTTACAAACGCACCCACGACACAGGAGAAAGTCTTAATGTGGGGCAACGATTTATATAAAGAAAAAAAATTGGCCCACAATTTTGAAGATACTGTCTATCATTTATACCTACCTACTGTAACTTAGAACAGTTTTGATAATTAGAAAACGGTCTACAAAGGTACCTAATAGACAATAACTAGGCATATACATACCTACCACAAGGCAATTCGTTTAACGATATTAAAGAAAAATAACAAGTGAGCGCTCCAAACAACGCTCCTCGAAAAAAATAAGTCTTGCGTAGGTTTATAATCAAAAGCCGCAGGTACCTATGACCTACATTTTAATTTAGCCCGAGGCCAACAAAATCAAAGCTTGATTTATACGAGTCTTTAAAAACCACATTTTTGTTTGTGTAGTCTAAATAGATTTATGCTTAGACTTATGTACGTAAACACGTAGATACCTACCAACATCACTAGACAGTTTATGTGACCTAATCTAATTACTTACTTAGAAATAAATAAAACCTACTTGTATGAAATTCCATAAACACTAGCTGTGTTAGGTTTTTTTTTTGAGATGCATCCGAGCAGATGGCGCGACTCCCGTATTGACACTAGAGTAGATCCGGCGTCGAGGATCGAGCGATAATTGATCTCCAGGTACCTTGACTGCGGGCACGCTACTATAGCAGCGGTAAGACCCCTCTTTGAGGAGTGGCTTGAGAGACGCCACGGCGTCCTCACCTTCCGCCTGACGCAGGTGCTTACCGGGGCACGGCAGCTTTGGTAGGTTCATGTTTCGGATCCAGCGGGAGGAAACGCCCGAGTGTCGTCATTGTGAGGATCACCTGGAGGACACGGTGGAGCATACGGTGGCGGAGTGCCCTGCTTGGGCTGAGCACCGCCGTGTTCTCAGGGAAGTGATCGGCGGCAGCGACCTCTCGCGCCCGGCCTTAATCGAGGCCATGGTGCAGCGTGAGAGGAACTGGGAAGCTATCTCCTCCTTCTGCGAAGCAGTTATGCTCGCAAAGGAGGAGGCGGAGCGCGTGAGGGAACTATCCTCCTCGCGCCCCAGCCGCCGCAGAAGGCGACATTCCGGACGTCAGGGATCGAGGGATGATCTGCGGCCACCGTAAGCGCGGGTCTGCGGACGGTGAGTAAGGGTAGCTCGCCGCCCGACCAGAACTGGACCCGAGCGTACGGCGCGTAGCGTTCCGCGCGCGCCTCAAAGAGCCAATAGACCACCACAGTCGGGGCCCTAAAGGGCTGATGTTTAGCCGGGGCTGCGGGGTAAGCGCAATGAGGCACCGCGACCTCGGCCCAGAGCAGGAGAAGGAACGGGGGGGTTTTTAGTCAGTAAGAGTCTGACACTCTCTCTCGCCTTACCCTGGGCGGGAGAAGTCATTGGATGATTTTCCCCTGTCACAAAAAAAAAAAAAAAAACGTACCTTGACTGCGGGTCTACGTATGAACGGCAAGCAAGGGTAGCTC